CCAGCACACTATGGACCTATTTATTTCATAGTTTAGTGGACTTCTAAAGGGAAATTTAAAGTAGATAGAAATAAGATTTGAATGTAGACAGAGATTTATATATGATTTGCAAAGGTTTATCCAAAAATAAATGAGAAACCATTCACCCTTGATTTAGATAATATAACTTTCTAGCTACAGTTTTGACAGGTCAGAGTATTCACAAAAGTCACTGGCAGTTTCTTTTACATATATTCAAAATTACAGAAGAATTAGGAAAATACATCATGTTCTGAGAGCTGTGCTTTGATATCTAATCCACCTTGTCGACCTTAATTGTAGAATTCAAGATGGTATTTCTATATTTCAACTTGTCCTACCCACACTATGTTTCACTTGTCTTCTGTCTTATAATTTGAAGAAGCAATGAAGGTAAAAGTGGTCAATTTTACCAGTGATTGCCTCTTGAAAAATTATATAAGTTAATTTTATTATTGTTGTTGTTGTTTAATTTTAAGCATTGTGATTTATAATATTGACACTGTCAGTGTTTCATGCAAAAAAAAAAAAACATTGCAACACCACACCATATGCCAGCGTGTCCCTCCTCCGTGTCCCAGTGCTTCTCCACCCCCATCCAATTCTTCCCATATCTCCTATAACTATGTTTCCCACTAAAGTCCAGTTCTCATTCCTATTCCTTTGAGTATTTGTTGTTTCTTTACTATATTACTTTATATACCACTAAGCAGCATTGTCCCAAACAAATTCCCTGGACCAAATTAAGAGCCACTCATAATTTTATTAAAGATCTGTTTATTTACAGGGGTCATGTTTATTTATTTCAGTATTTCTTAAACTTGATAAAATTTATGCATCACTTTTAAAGAAAATATAGTCTCCTAGTCATTAATTTATATAATACTCTCTAGGAAAGATATAAAAATATATTAGTTTGTAATTTTTTATGCTAATAGCAAGATTATAACAAAATCCCTTAAATTATTGACTTAAGAAATCAAAATATTGATTAATATAATCCTTTTACAGTAGATAACAAGTTGACAACAAGAATAAGAAGACACATAAAAGAGTCATTTTCATTTTTATGTAATAGAGCATTCTGGGCAGATACATTATGAGATATTACATACATATTTCTCTTTTTGTGAAACAGTAATAACCGTTTCCTTAGGCCTTTGGGAGAGATAGAAATTTTGCTACTATCCTGAGTCATTCTGCTTTACAATCACTATAAGTTGATGCAATTTTTAGTTTTAAGTAGTGGATATGGGAATTGACTAAATCACTCTTCTTTCTTCAAGTGTTTCTTGAAGGGAAGGTAAAGTCTCTTGATGACTCTCAAAACATTTTTCCTACCACTACGTTGAGAAGTGATACACATTATTCCGCTATTTGTTTCTGTCTACTTTATGTGTTATTCTCACATATCTATAAAAACTAGTTCCATGAATAAACAGTAGGAATCACATTTTATTTTAACTTTTTGTTGGTGGTGGTCATGCTACTTAAATACCAATAGGTAACAGACACAAAGTAAAAGAAGCTATTTTAAAAGGTGAAGGTAACAGTAAGGAAAACACATGGTATTATCCTGCCTCTATATGAAAATTTTGACTTGCACACTTGAAACATAATTCAACTAATTAAATAGAAATTGAATGATTATATTGCTTAAAAGTATAGACTAAGTTTTTCTGGGCAATAAAAGTGAAGACATGGCTTTTGATGCTCCTGCTGTTGTGCAGGTATGGCACCTGGCAGTGTTCAGGGATCTGTCTGGAGTCATTCCCAATATTCCAAAGCACTCAGGCCCACAGAGTGGTGCTAGGGACCAGGAGACTATGGTACAGGGTGTCAAATTCAGTGTCTCTCACATACAAGGCCTTTCTTTCTTCCTTTTCATTTTGTGGAAATCAAATTATTTGCCTTAACTATTTTAGCATGTCAAATTATAAAAATCACATAGCACTGCATTGCACGGTCCTCCCATTGTTCATCGATTTGCTCGAACAGGCACGGGTAATGTCTCCCTGAAAGACTTGTTGTTACTATTTTTGGCATATGGAATATGCCACAGAGAGCTTGCCAGGCTCTGCCGTGCGGGTGGGATACTCTTGGTAGCTTGCCCAGCTCTTCAAGAGGGACAGAGGAATCAAACCCTACTTGGCCGCGTGCAAGACAAATGTCCTACCTGCTGTGCTATCACTCCACTCACAAAGATTTCAACTTTCAATTTCAAATGAATATTTTTTGTACTTCTTATATCAGAAAACATATTTTAAAATGTATCTGTATTGGGTACCAGAGAATCAGTACAGAGTGTGGAGTACTTACCTTGCATAAGCTGACCTAGGTTTGATTCTTGGCACCCCATGTTGTCTCCTGAATACTTCCAGCAAATGATCCCTGAGTGTAGCATCAGAACTAAGCCCTGAGCACTGCTGGTGTGGCTCAAAATCAATAATACTAATAAACTCAAATTTTTATTTATTTCACAGCCATTTTATTGAGGTATTATAATAATAATATTGATGTTTTATATTTTCAGTGGTATTATATCACTTCATCACCACAATGTCAATATTCTCAACCTAATAACCTAATAATAAGGACCCTTATCCTTGCCCACCACCCATTTGCATTTTACTAATTTGCATTTGCATTCTAAGTTCGGATTACCAATATTAGTGAAATTATTTAAATAAAATAATTTATTGCTGTCTTTTTGTATAGGTTCTCTGCATTTCTGTACTTAGTGTTTGTTTCATTCGTTTTCTCTATGAGATCATTTAGTACACATTACAGCACTAGTTTAGTGACCACGAACTTCTTTTGGGGCAGTGTACCTAATCAACAATCCCTGAGCACTGTTGATTGGACACACTCAATAGGGCTCAGGGAGTGCTCCTGGTTATTTTGCTCAGAGATCACTACTTGCAAGGCTCAAGGGACCATATTTGGTCCTCCTGTTCAACCTGGAGTTGGCTAAATGAAACTTAAAAGACTTACTCTCCTGCACTATACTTTGCCTCCAACATGAACTTTAAGCTCTTGTTCATCAGTGAAGTTTTGTGTTGCACCTTTAAATTTAAATTATAACCTAGTAGGAGAAGGTATTTTTATTAGGACCCCCATTTCCTTTAGTGTATTGGATGTATAATTCCCTTCTAGCCTGTAGGATTCATTTGAAAGAGTTGCTATGAATCACATGGGCACTGTCTTAAAGATAACATTTTGCTTTGCTTTTGTTGCTTGTAGAAGTGCATCTCTATCTTTGGTTCATACTATTTTATTTATGTTGTGTCTTGTTTTATTTTTGTTGTTGTTATTTGGTTTTTTTTTCTGTCTGGAGCTCTGAAGTTGCTGAATCTGGGTGTATGAGTCAATCCACAAATTGGACATGGTTTCATCTATAATTTTTCCAACCAAAATGTTTTCTTTTTCCATTCTCTACTTCTGGGACACCTATAATTTGAATGTTGTGTCTTTTGCTGTCCCATGGTCTCTGATGTCTTCTACATTTTTTATTTCTCCTCTTCCTGAGGGGAAATAAAAAAAAGAGCTGATTTTCTTTTCTGCTTCTTTCATTCTGTTTCCTATTCCCTCTGTTGTGTTGTTTTATTTCTATTATTAAATTTAATTATTCTCTTAAAAATCTTCAATATTGTTTCTTTTCTTGACGGAACTCTTTTCTAGCATTTTCCTCAATTCATCAAACAATCTAATCAATATCATTCTAAATTCCTTATCAGGTAGTTTAGCAAAGTCTTGTGTGCCTGGGTTCCTTTCAAGGCTTTTTTCATCATCTTTAATGCAGGTGAATTCCTATACTACTTCATAGCATCTGGTACTATCGTAGTGGTGATGGCTTAGTTTTGTGCTGACCTAGATGGCAGTGAATGATTCCTTTTGTAGCAGAAATTGTACTTTCACAACCTTGCTGGTTAAGCTCGAACTCTATCGAGTACCCCATGCAGCCTTCCAGGATTCACACTGGTTGGTGATGATCACAAAACTGTCATCCCACAAGGTTGGGCTCAGTTGTTTACTGGTGTGTGAGAGGGCCTGTTTGCACTATAGTTCCAAAGAGACCTGGTAGACAGTGGGGCACCAGCATTTGGCATTTTTTGACTGCCATGTACCAGCTACCATAGGAAGTGTTCACTACTCAATGCTTCTGACTCTGGCCAAGGTGTCCTCTCTTGACAAATGTTGATGATTTCTCTGGGGACAGAACTTTTCCACAGCAGTCAGATGCAAAGGGGAGGAGTAGACTTGTCACCCAGAAAGATGTAGCTGTTATTCAACTCTGTTTTTCTACTCTGGACTAGGATTTTCTCCCTGAATCCACATCTGTCAATGAGCACTCCACCCTTCTGTCAGAATGGGACACGATTCCTCAGAAGATAAGTGATCCCAGCAGCTAGAACCCCATGGAAAACAAAGCACCTGGTAGTGATGGTGGTGTTGTGATGGTGTTGGTGCTGGTAGCGCAATTCTGCTCTCCCACTGGGCTTGGATTCTTGCCCATTCCCTTACTTTTAGGGACTCTTGATTGAGGGCTATAGGAAACTGATGATCTTGTAAATACAATGCTTTGTTAGGATTAGAGCAAAAGTATAATGGTTAGGGTGCTTGCCTTGCAAACACCTAGCCAGTATTCAAACCTCGGCAGCCCATATGGTACCACAAACCTACCCAAGTGATTCTTGAGTGCAAAGTCAGGAGTAAACCCTGAGAGCCACCGGGAGGAAGTGGCCCCCAAACCAAAAAACTAATAATAATAATTTACATTAAAAAAAACTTGCCCCAGTTAAAAAAGAAAAATTAGATTTCTTGGTAACATATACTGAATTTCTTGGAGTCCTCAAAGTTGTGGGCCTTTCTCCAGTGCAAAACTCATATAACTGAATGCTACATACATATTACCATGTGCAAGAACATTGGATGGAACAAACAAAAAAGACAATTTAAATTATAAGATAAAACCATACTCAGTGCTCACTTTGACAGCACATTTACTAAAATTGGAATGATACAGAAAAGATTAACATGTTCCTTATGCAAGGGTGACATGAAATTTTGTGAAATATTTGATAACTTGGTAAAGGTAAAGGTAAAGGCCCTCCCGTTGATCGTCGATTTGCTCGAGCGGGCCCAGTAACGTCTCCATTGGAGACTTTGTTGTTACTGTGTCTGGCATATTGAATGCTCTCGGTAGCTTGCCGGGCTCTCCGAGAGGGGCGGAGGAATCGAACTCGGGTCAGCCATGTTGGCCACTTGTAAGGCAAACGCCCTACCCGCTGTGCTATCGCTCCAGCGATAACTTGAATGTTTGCTATTAAAAACTGACCAAAGCCATGCTCAATTCTGCAACACAGGTAACATTTTTGCACATGTAAACACCCTAATATTAAATTTAATGCTACTATATTTTAACGTGAAATATAACTTTTATGAAGCTTGTAACTGATTTATTTTATTGTACAAATTAGAAAGGTAGGGTATATTTTAATCTTACGAACATATAAAGATGTTCTATGCACTCCAAGGACTCAAGGGGACCAAGAAAATTTTTAAACTTTGTTTAGATCTCCTAAATAATGTGTTCCTCCTATTAGTCTTGTTTTTCATTCTATAAAGATCAGGGTTGTGAGATCAATCAATTTTAAACTTCAATTTTACATTTTAAAATATCTAAAAATTTATTCATTTATTTATTTTGATTTGGGGGCCACATCTAGCTGTGTTCAGAGTTTACTTCTGTCTCTACTCAGGGACACTCAGGGACAACTCTTGATGATGCTCAAATATCATAATATGGTACCAGGGATGAAATTGAGTTGGTTCTCTGCTACTGTACTCTATCTCCAGCCCTATGGATATGTTTATAACATTAATTAAATTGGCATGCAGGAATATTTGACTGAATAAAAAGTTCTGGGGGTAACAGCATAGTAATAAACATGCAATTTTAAAATAATAACAATTCTCAGAAAAGTAATTTTAACAATTCCTTTGAAGTTCTCACCACATGCATTTACTCACTCCCTTCTAACCAAAGGGAAGTCAAATTTAAAAAAAAAACAAAGATTTGCAATTTCACATAAGCTGGACCCAATTTCTGGCACCGCAGAGGCCCCATGACATTGCTAGATGCAGTCTTAGAGTCCTGGACACTGCCAGCCTGACCCAGGTAATCCCAAGCTCTACAGAACTGAGAAGTATGGCATTCTCACACCCTTGCACTGAATGTTGTTGGCTGAGAATAACAGTTGGGGCCCTGTGCCTCCTCAGCACCACTTGGAAGATCCTCTCAAAAATAAATTAAAAAAATGATTTAAAACTACTTTAGAAGACTTTTCCCACTACAGTGCTTAGTATAAAGGGTGTGATTAGTAAAGCAGTAGCATTTCATTAGTTATTTTATAAACGTTTACAAACTGTAAACTCAGAAACTGATTGTTTGAAAAAAAATAGACAAAAGTGATGGATAATTTGTTCAGTAGTTTTGATTTTCATTTGCACTTCCCACTAAGGATAAAACAAATATCCATGTTTTCCTTATAACAACACATTTTCTAAATTTTATTTATTAAATTTATAGAATCAAATTGAGAAAGCAACATTTCTGCTTAAATTATCAGTGTTACAACTACAAAAATTTTATTTTCTACAGAGAATATCTTATTCAGCAAAGTATTTGATACACTGCATGAGGATCAATTGTTGAATGTACCTGAACTGGAATTCTTGCTTGGAATTAAAAAAAATTCTTCTTGAATGAGTTAAATGAAATAGTTTGGAAGACAGTAGAAATATATAAACTGCACACTTCTAGGTTATAGTCTTGCACATCTGCTGTGACTTTAATGTGCACACATGAACGACTGCATGACACTGAAGAATATTATCTTTTCTGTAAAATATAACAAGAAAAGTAAATAGGTTATGAATCAAACTAAATTAACTGCACACAGCTGTAAGAAACTTAGTGCATGACCAAATAACAGATAGGAAAATCTTTTGTTTTCACTGGTGATTTATCTAATGGTAAGATAAATGTCTGATGACATACATAGTCCAGTGTTCTGTCAATCCTCAGCCATTTATTTCATCACTCCTCATGTGCATGTCAGAGAGAAATAACTACTCAATTGCTCAACCATAAGAGTATCTTTATGGTTTCTGCTTAAGCAAGCTTGTCAGTAATAAAAAAAAATTTCAAAATGTAAATGTAACCAGAGAATTATTTGCACAATAATTTATCTTTAATCTAAACAAGCAATATTAGGATATGATTTTCCTAAAAGACATCCACATCTAAGTTTAATAATTTTTCTTATGAGAACAGTATTTTATTTCTATATTAACAAACTTACTATCCAGTTATGCAATTTATGTTTATAATTCTATATGTAAAATTTCACATTAAATAAAAGCATTATATGACTTATGCAAATTCAATGTTTGAACTTTTATATATTCACTCATATTATAAAGGAGAAACTTAAGATCTTAAATAACTTCCCCAAGTTTAATTTATTTGTTGTCTATTTACTAAGTCAAATGGTAGATTGGTAAAAAGAAAAAGAAATGGTTAAGGGTGAGGAATATTCTGATCACCATTGTAAATGATTTGGGGGAAGAAAAGAAAATAGAAGAAAAACAAGTGAGGAAACTGGTAGGAGTGATATCATGCAAAAACTTATTAGCCACAGTAATTATATACATTGATAAAAACTAATAAAATAATAAATCTTAGTACTGTATTAAAGGAAGAATGAAAAATGCAGAGAGAAAGAGAGAGAGAGGCAGGGGGGCAACATTCACTTATTATTTACAAGTTTCAAGAAGAGACATTTATTATTTATTTAGGTGTTTGATGGGTAGATAAAAAAAAGACTACCTTTAAAAATGGGGGATCCATCCGCCTGCTCCCTCTTGGCGACTTGGTGACTGTCATCCTCCAGAGGCCATTGGACAGTCAGGCTTGGGCCCGCAGTGACAAAACTTGTTGGGCCTCACGGGATGGGGGGGGGGGGGGAGCTGGGCCTGTCCTCCCCACCCCAACGAGACCCCAAGTCATCGCCCACGAACGGCCTCTCTGGCGCCTCATCAAGCTGCTCAACGGCCATGATTCCAGAGATTCAGGAGCAGATCTCGAAACCCAGTGGCTTTTGGCAGAAATCCCTCCAGATTTAAGTGTTAAAATTTCGGAATTTCAAAATCACATGGCCCTACTGCAGCCACACGACATCATATGTTATTTATAACCAGCAATAGAACACAAAATTGTCTATAGTTGCCTTTTCAGCAGATCTGAGTGTTGGGGTAATATCTCAAATAATCTTGGGTCTGGTGTCGAAATAGTGAATGTGATCAAAGTAGAGAGAGAGTAATGTAGAAATCATCTGCCCCACAGGCAGGGGGAGGGTGTGGGATGGGGGTATACTGGGATTTTTGGTGGTGGAGAATGGGCACTGGTGAAGGTACGGGTGTTTCATTGTATGACTGAGACTTAGACCCAAAAGCTTTGTAACTACTCTCACGGTGATTCAATAAATAAAATTATAAAAAATGGGAAAAAAAAGTAAAGTGGAGTTCATGCACAATTCAATCAGCTAATCAGTGGCTGAATAAATAGCAGTAGTCTTACCAAAAAAAAATAAATAAAAATGGGGGAAACTGGGGCTGGAGCAATAGCACAATGGGTAGGGCATTTGCCTTCCACGCGACCAACCTGGGTTCGATTCCCAGCATCCCATATGGTCCTCTGAGCACTGCCAGGGGTGATTCCTGAGTGCAGAGCCAGGAGAAACCTCTGTGCATTGCTGAGTGTGACCCCCAAAGCAAAATAATAAAATAAAATAAAATAAAAAAATAAAAATGGGGTAACCTGAGAAATACAGGTGTGATAGTATAAGGCTTTTGAAAAGTGGAAAGTGTGTCTAGAATATGTGATGTGGGTCAGCCAAAGACAAACTCCAAGGACTTTATGAAATGGATATCCATCTAGAATCAATGTTAAGGATGTTAGACTTTCTTTACAGACCATATAAAGTTAATTTAAATTTCTGGAAAAAGTAAATAAACAATTTAAGAATTAAAACTTAGTGGAGCAGGGAGAGGAGGGTAAGAGAAAAATAAAACAAAACAAAAACCTAAACCTGAAGAGTGGGGAATAGAAGAGGAAACAGTTGAAGACGGCAAGACCAGTTAGGTTGATATGGCAAGAAAGATGGTAATAATGAATGCACTTGACCTTATAATTATTATTCACTTTGATCATTAAAACATAGGGAATAACACATAGTAAGCATGAAAGAAATGAGAGTACCAAAAGCTAAATCATAAATTTACTTATTTAAAATTGCTTTGAGTCACCAATTGAAAGCGTACGTAATTGAGAGAGCCAAGCCTGCAAATAATACATGCTTAAATAAATATTTATCTTGTGTACATGGAATACTAAAGAGATTAGTGTTGCTATATCTATTGTACAAAGTATGTTGTAAAGAACAAATGAAACAAGAGACATGTAAGATGTTGTAATATGCATGTTATAAATACTAGTCATTAATATTATATTTAATCCCTGTTGAGAGCTTCTGCTCTTTTCCATAATTCATGAAACAAGATAGGAATATTCCAACTTACTATAGGCTTTGAAATATTTTTAAATGCAATTGATTTTAATAAAATCTTTAGATATTTGTGATGTATGTGGCATGAGGAAATGAAAGAAAAAAATAGGGAGAGAGAATAAGGAAACTAAGATTTCTACCCTTGTTTGTCAGTATAAACAAAGAACGAAGTAGGGTTGATTTTTTCATATAAACTCTAAGAAAATTTCAAGTACCTTGAATTTGACCAATTCAGATGAATTCTCACGAAAAAATTATAAGTACTTGTACATGAAAGCCATGGTGTTTTACAAAATAATGTCTTGATGTTTTAAGAGTTGTATTGTTTTTTCTTAAAATGTTCAAGTATACTCCTTTCCTTGAGAACTAACTAGCATGGTCTGCCCTATAGAGTGTGATCTTTAGAAGCTTGGGCTTCTATGTATGAACTACAAACAGAATCCTCTTAGCCTCAGTA